CATACATAAAAAATCTTATAATTTTTAGGATCCTGGTAAAGACCAATTTTCAGTTACGTGTCAGTATAACCGTAGTTAACCTCTTCAGTTACACCCACATCCACAACTAATACATTTTTCATGTTATCTATTTTTCACATTCAATGGTTTTCTTTTCGACATTCGCCTATATTTCTCTTAGATATTTTTCCTTTCGACATTTTTTTTCTTTTTCCATCCATTTCACACACCCACACTCAGTGATCCGTTTAGAATCTGACCATAACAGGAGTTAATTTGCTACTTCTCCAAGCCAGATATGAACAGAAAAGCGACGACGTCGATATGTATATGTGTGTCCATTTAGCTGATGTATTTGATCAAGAGCTGACAGAAAATCAAAGTCCCAGATTGATTCATGTGCTTCTGTTGTGATAGGATATCGGAAACATATGCTCGACAAGTTTCTGAATCGATCAATGAAGCCGAAGAGTTTTGATGAAGGATTCAGAGGTCGTACGTCAAGATGTTCAATGCACGGAAAAGCATGAGACAATTCATCCAGAATAGAATCGGTATCAACATCTGCATCAAACTTATCGATTGTGAGTGTACGTATATGTTCAAACGAAATTGATCGTAGTTGATTTCGGAAAGCTGATATACATATTTGAATTGATAAGCGACACACATTTGGCATCTTATTCAGAAGGTTCTCCAGCATACCATCGATCATTGGCAAAGATAAAACTAAATGTTTTATCTGACTCAGATAGATCATTGACTTAAGAGTCGATAAAGAAAAGTTGCAGTCCAAATGCAACGTTTGCACACTACTAAAACGGTGATCGATTTTTCTAGGTAATTTTGATAACGTTAAACGAGTAATACGTTCGTAGAAAATCGTCGGATCAGGTGTTGTAAAATAAAAAGATTGTGTAAAATTTTCGTTTACATGCGTTGGAGCGAAACAGGGTATTGAGAATATAGAGTACCTATTGCAAGCTACAAACCAACGTTTCTCTTCAAGCCAAAATGGAGCACGAAATGAATCGAGCGAATTTTGTGTCAGTTGATCGAAAATTTGAAATTTGAAATGGAAGGTCATGAGATTTTTTGTCAAATATTTCCATCGCTCCCCATCGACCAGATCTTGCTCACCGTTAGAATCAATTTCAAAATATTCCAGGTGAGGAATATTTGGTAAGAATTGTTCCATGTCATTCATGCAGATTCGCCAACCTATATAAAAGAATTTCAACAAGTTCTCTATGCGTATCGGTGAGTTAACAGAGAAATCATAAAGAAAGGATCTGAATTTCAGTCCATGTTATCAGTCTGACGAAAGGATTCCACTTTTTTCTAAGTAGCAATTACTTGCCTTGTATTGTGAGAATGAGATGTTTAAGATGAGTGAATCGAAAAAGAAAATCTTTCTTTTCTCCACTGCAATTTAGTTTGATATTCAGTGATCTGAGTTGTGGTGCAGCATAACAGAGATGTTTCAGAGTACTAATTAAACATTGTCTGACGATCAAGTGACGCAGACAAGAAAAACTTATTGAGTTCAGGAAGTTGCCATGGGTCAATGTCAATCTATATAATTGAGGTAACACTGAAGAATAAATGTTCGATAGATGCTTGTCAAGGTTTCCCTCCTCATCGTATGACATAAGTGAAATCCATGAATCCTGATTAGTTTGAGCTATATAGGAAAACGAGCGTAGACAATTGAGTTGCGGTAATTTTGTGATAATCGGTTCCCACAAAGTGTTTGCGACTTCGATCATCGTCAACGATCGAAGAGAAACGAATTGCTCAATATTGAAACGTGAAAGAAAAAGTCCCACTTGCCCAACAGTATCTTCATCATCCGATAGTGTCAATGCGATGACTTGAGCTGGTATCATACGCTGACAGACAAAATCGAAATCCACTCGTCGAACCGATTTGAAATTCACTCGATAATATGGATAGGACCCAAGAACAGCATCGAAATAAGAACTCACACCCGTAAATATGCGAAAAATTTCTTGAATGTTAAAGTAGCTCAAAAGATTATGGACAAGTTCCACAGGAAACTCATCCAAACGACAGCAAAACATTGTGCAATGACAAATGTTACAACAATGTGCGTTTTTCTTCCGACCTTATCATTAAATAAATGTTGACTGAATAAGTCCTTGTATTGATGAGACATGAGAAAACGAAAAATAAAATCTATGGTTGGAAAGTCAATAAAAAGATATTTGTATGTTTTGAAAGTGAATGTGAGTGAGTGAAGAGAAAACCCACATCCACGCCCACCCGAATCGATTTTAGTCGATTATTTCTGAAATCAACTAAAATAGATCCCTACGATTTCGCTAAAAGAAATCAATTTTAATCGATTCTAATTGGTTACTAATGTAAGTACGTCATTTCAATTATGAAACAATTTATATAGTAGTTCCAAATTTAATTAGCTTGTGGAACTTTATCCAAGTAAAAAAGAAAAAAACTGGAGAAAAATATAATATCTATCTTGAGTTTTAATTCATAATCATACTAAAAAACATAAATGTAGAAAAGAGTTTTACTTTTTTATGAAAGAAAATGAATATAAATGAGAATTTTCAGTCATTATACGACCATTATCAACCAATAAACGAGAAATTTGATGAGTGTGGGTGTTGGTGTGAAGATGAGGATGTGCGTAGCTGTGAGCCATATTTTCACCCACAGACACATTCATATCCACATCATTGATAATTGCTTTGTAGCTCAATATAAGTTGACTGGTTTTATATATAACTCGATGTATTTAGTATAAAAAACTTCGGTCTCAATATGCACTTCTCGCTAATATATCATGGTGCCTAATTGAGAACAAAATGTTTGAGTGAAACGATTTCATATTATATGAGTCACATCACATAATCAAAAATGTTCACTAAAAAAGCCGATATTGTAAGCCTTGTATCGCCACGAAGGTAAACTTTTCTTTTCATATATTTTTCCATTTTGTAAAGAATCAAAAGTTACATAATATGTAAAAAATTCAGTGTGACTTTTTTAATTTCAACAACTGGCAGCAACTATATTGCCGAAAATCGACCATTTTGAACTCATAAATTGTAATATTTCTCATCCATGTTCAACTACAAAATCCCAATAAATAGATTAAATGTAATAATTCTTCAAATACCTCATTTTTTTCCGGCGATTTATGCTGTCTTTGCGTACATTGCACGAAAAAATTCTTTGTCTTACTGAAGTATAATTCTAATAAACATTTATTGTACGATTTCTGACTATTTTTTTTGATAGTAAGTTGGTAGTATCCTAAAGTCGATGTAGGCTAACTTTACTATGATACATCTAAATAGACTAAAAATTTAGTTTCGATGATTTTAGACCATGTCCTTTCAAATGCACATAAAAATTAAAAAAACCTAAATTTTGGCCAGTGTCTCGTATACTGGAGTATGAGTGTGGATGTGGTCTTAATCCGCTAAAAAACATACGTATACACCCACATCCAGCTCAGAAAATATCGAAACCAATCTTGTTTACATTGATTTTGGCATCATGTCGAGTGTCGAGCAACAGAAAGGCTCGATTGATATTGAAAGTGATGACCCAAATGAGAACTTCTATCTTCTCTATGATCGATCGTCAGAGAAAAAAAGATGTTTCTTCTATCATCATCTTCCTCGACTGCTAATCATTGACGTTCGAGAAGATTTAAATGATTAAATTAACCGGACTATTTCCCTTTCCGAATGACAAATCCACAAGTCCTGCATTTTTCAGTTATCCACTTACTTCGATATTGAATTTGAACAGAATCCAAAAAATAGTCACGTTTTCCTCTTCGACCCACCGTTCTCTTAGAAATTGACATTGATAAAAGATTGGCAAGTGCCATACATCGACTCTAATCAATTTTTATTCTTCATAATCTCGCTTTCGACGCATCTTTTTCTTCATTCAGACATATGATCTTTATGTTGATCGATGAGAAATGGCGATATCTGTCTTTAGAACAATTTCAAGTGAATGTATTTAACTTAATATTCTTGGTTTGATCGATTCTTTTGTTCATTTGATCTGAATTGATAAGCTAGAATTGATCTCCTCCTTTAACCGAGGATTAAGTGCTAAAGTGAATTACTTTTAAGTTAAACTACTAAACCAAAGTTAAAATGCTAGAACTATTCTTATATTGAACAAGTTTGTATTTTTCTTCGTACGAACAAATATTCTGTAAGGATCTATCACGAAAAAATAAATTTTTAATCGATTTTTCAATCTCTTCTTTTGATGTCGACACAGATATTTGATAATAATTCATCTTTTTGTTTGGTTTGAAAAACTTATTTGAAGATGAATACAAACAATTTAAAACATTTGTTCGATTAAAAGTATTTCAATATCTAGAAAAAACACATCATTGTATTTTGCAAAAAAATAAATGTTAAACGACAGTAAAATATATATCGTCGCAATTTTTGATTTAGTAAAACAACGTTATGCATTGTGGAAGAAAATGCACATGTTGCTATGATAGTAGTTGATTTAACCTTGATGAAAAATTGTCCAATCAAATAAAATTATTTTCTTTTTGATAAAATCAAGACTAAGATTTCACATTACTTTATTAAAATTCAACGGAAATGAAATAATATGTATTTCGAAACAACACGAATGAAATGTTTTTTTTGATACTTTAAGTAAATAATATATTATTTTAGATAGAACTTTTTCTTCATTTAACCATCTTGATTGAATTTGCACTATCTATCGCATGAAAGACATATGGCATAATCTCTCATCATCATCAGTAAGAAATTTGTCCTTTTATGTTTGCAAATAAAAAGATAACGAAAAACAATCCTATCTTATATTATTTATTTGTTATGAGTCAATATTTCTTATATAAATATCAATGAGAATATTTTCTTTCAATACTTGCATTTGTTGCACTCACTGACCAATTTAATTCATATCAAAATCGATCTTTCAACTACAAGAACAAGATGAAGAATCTGATTGTATTAATAACATTATTGGTAGTCTGCGTTGGTGAGAGAATTATTTTACTTACTTTCTCAAATTGATTGTATTAACTATAGTCTGTGTTCATGGTGCTGCGTATTGCTACTTTTGTGCGAATTGTCCTAATCCATTCACCCCAGACTCACCATATGTTTCAACCGTTAAAGCAAATACAGGATTTTGTGCTGTAAGTATAGTCAAATTCGTCAATTAAGATAAAGATTAATTTAAATTATTAAAAATCAATATTTTTCATTTTAATGTGCAGAAAAAAAGTTATTCATCTGATCCAAATGCTCCAAATAGTCGTGGTACTGCTGAACCTGGCCTTTGTGTCGTAACTGGATGTAGATGGACGTACGACCCTGCTGATCGACAGATATACACTTGTTGTTGTGACAGTAATTACTGCAATGGTAGCATGTAGAGAAGTACTTCGATCAGATCACTATTAGTTGAACTTCTGAACATTTAATATTGCTTCCCATTATATAGCATACATTAAGTTAACAAGAACATGGGTTATTTTTCAATGAAATGTTTTTTTTTTATCTTATCAAAATCATTCTGGGAATGGGAAAGATGGTTTGATAAGTTATATTTAATAAAATAACCTTATATACTTATATGATTTGTATTAATGTTCTTCGATTCATTCTATTAGAGATATTTAAATACGTAAAGTATTACATTGATAGTGCTATTGCAAACAAAAATTTTTGTTAAGAAATTATTTTTTCAATAATGATTTCTCAACATGTACTTCGAGAGAAAACAGTCTTTGAGTCAGAACTTCATCTAGGTTCGACACTCTGTTTTCAAGCTTTGGTATTGTTGAAATTATATGACGAAATAAAACAGTGGAAACGAGTAAATATGATGTTAGTCAAGGGGAAACAAACTGATATCTGATCTTAGAAGCCATTTTGAAATCAATATAAGTCTTTATTGTAAAACATTCATAACTCATTATGAAGTTGTATCTACCAATGACAAAATGACTGCAAATCGTATTTTTGATCTAAGACATAGAGTTTTCGATCAGAAGAAATTTTTGTAGAGATGTATATATATATATATATATGAATAGTATAAGTGTAGATGTTTGTAATACAAATAAAAGTTTAATATGAAGATGCAAAATATTGATATACTTTCTGAGTCTCTTTAATACATCCTTGAATAACATTTAATCATAGGCTGTGTAAGCTTCATCGAACACATTCTCTAGTTCACCTTGTGACTTTGGATTCTTGTTTTTTAATTTTCTCTTTGATAATGTTCCAGACCAGTTCAATAGAGTTAAAATTAAGATTATAACCTAGCTACTGGCATAATTCGATATAATATTGTTCACACAATTGCTTGAATTGAGCACTTATAACGGGTGATGGAAAATTATTTGCACAAAATGTTTGTTCATTTTTGACCCACCTGAAAGTATCTCTGACGAGTCAAAATCTATGCGTTAGAATCAGAACTTTGTGCTCTTTCCGAATATGGATTTAGAAATTTTGTGTTGGTTTATGTTCAAGAGTAGTGAAATAATCTTTGAAAGGCCCAAAAAATTAATTTGGACGGAACGTTTGGGCCGAAGTTTCTGCTCAAAATGTTTATTTGTTTTGGTTTGCTTGAAAGTATCTTCAGATGAGTCAAAACTATGAGTTAGCACCAGAATTTTGTGCGCTTTCTGGATATGGGTCTAAAAATGTTGTATCTATTTTTGTTCGAGAGTGGTAAGGGAACCTTTGAAAGGCTTAAACAATTAGTTTGGACTGCGAACAAACAGGTTTTGATAACCCATACAAATCCCTTTGAGAAGATGCTAAAAATTCTCGAATTCGGTAGTTCTGTAGAGCAAACAGTTCTTTAAAAAATGTGATATTGAACTAAGCTGTAGCTTTTACTCAAGGTAAGCTATGCGCATTTTTCCAAGAGCTCCTGTCCACGTAAAATACTTTTGGTCAAAAAAACAATTTTTCAAAAATGACGATTTAGGAAAAACGAAAATTCAGAAGCCTTGTCCAAAGACAAAAAAAAGCTCACACAGAATATTTTGTAGGATAGGTTTTGCTGTACATGCTGGTATAATATAAAGGTTCCACCTTTTAGTTTCGGATGACAACAACAAAAATTTGCAAACAAAATTTCTGTCCAAACTAAGTTTTTGGGTCTTTCAAAGATTATTTCACTACTCTCGAACAGAAACCAACACAAAATTTCCAAGTCCATATTCGGAAAGAGTACAAGATTCTGATTCTAACGCATAGATTTTGACTCGTCAGAAATACTTTCAGGAGTCAAAAATGAACAAACATTTTGTGCAAATAATTTTCGATCATCCGTTATATCATTTGGTTCTATCGAAAACATATGAGAATCCATTTAATTTCTGCATATTTGTAGATAAAAGTATGAACAAAAAACTCAGACAGTATATCAATAATTTGTATCTTCATATTAAACTTTTATTTGTATTATAAAACGTCTACACTTTTACTATTCATATACGATATCCAAAAAAACTTCTTCTCATTGTAAATTCTATATTTTAGATCAAAAAATACGATTTGCAGTTATTTTGTCGTTGGTTGTTTTATATAGCATAATGGCGTGGTATCAGGGATGCCAAATTCAAATTTTAGAAATCACGAGTTTTTCCTAAAAAAACAGATGTTGACTAGGAAATTTTTTTCCAAAAAATCAGGACGAAAATCAGAAGATTTTTTGCGGAATTAGATCAAATAAGAGAGGATCAAGCAGAATTTTTGAAGCAAGCAATCGATTTTACTGATTCCAACTAAAAATTGTACATTAGAGACAAGAAAAGCCTTTGGTGATCTAATCATTTTTTACATTCTACAGAAATGAAAAATAATTTGTATTGGACAGTCATTTGTTTCTAAATTTAGATCCATAATGTTTAGTCATTATGATATATTAAAATGAAACAAATCTTGATTTCAAAATGCTTTTTAATAGAGCAGTGATAGCACTTGTTTAGCTATATTACAGCTTGAAGAAGATTTCATTCTAACAGATTCGAAAGTTTATTAATCTTGTCTTATTCTAATGAGAACATTCGAGAAAACACCACACCTAGGAGGCTATTTCAATATACGATTATTAGACTAAAAGCCTATACGATTAGGGAGGAAACAAGGATTCTTCCCTCCTCAATTTTTTCATTCATTCTACATTTTTTCTGAAAAGTTTAGCTAGCTGATCTTTTGCGTTCTTTCAGAATTTTTTAATCGACTACATGTACCAAAAATATGCAAAAAGGGAAGTTGTCATTCTGGCTTTCAAGAAGAATGAATCAATTTTGCCGAAAAAAAAACAACTATCTGTTTTTGGAAGATTTTCTTCGTAGCTTTCTTCCATACCTGAATAAAGCCAAACGAAAGCCAGAGTTAATATTTGTTTTTCGAAGTTTTACGGACGGCGGGACATTTTTGTACCACATATTTATTTTTTTCTTAGCCGCTTCAAAGACCTTATATAAATTAAAAAGCGTAGAATCACAAGTAACGTTCATCGAGATCGATTCAATCAGCTCTGGACTGAACTATTGAAGATCGTTCTGCTTTGCGATTTTACATGCATTCAAAATCTGGAAATCTGACGGAAAAAGTACTATTTTTAAAACACAAGAGATGGCAAAACGCTTGAAAGGAAGAGCAAACCCATAAAAATTCAGAACTAATCCAGTAATTCGGCTCCTTTACACCCCGAAGTTGGGATTCAAGAATCCAAAAAGAAAACGAGAGTAAAGGAGTTTTTAAAATTAGAAAATGAAAAAAATCATGAAGAATTGGATGAACAATGATCTAAAAAACAGCGTTTCAGACAGGCACAGAGACAGGTATGGATGTGGGATGTGTGGATGTGAGTGTGAGGTGTGTGAATGAGTGTGGGTGCGCTGAGTTTTCCAAGAATCAAGGAAGAGAAGAAATTTTTTACCAACCAATGGACGTAAAACTTCATTTATAAAAGCATGATGTTTTTTATCACTGCTTTTTCCTGATTTTGAAGTTTTGCCTACAAAATTTGGTGGTATAATTAAATTTTTTTGCATATTTTTAGCAAATGTATTTTCTTTTGGAGAATAAGCAAGAACTTCTCTAATAAATGACCATCGGCTGACGGAACTAGTTGAACTGTATAACATTCAAAGGCAATAAGGATTTCTGACAGCTATGTAGTGTTTAGAATATTTGTTTTGACGTTCGTATTTTTAGTTCATTTTTGTTAACGAAGGCTTTTCTACATTTAAAAAAAAACATGTTAAAAAAACTTCATTCATCTTTATTTATACGCTTATTTATTGTAAACCATTTGTAAAACATAAACACAGTGAAAACTAAATACAAGTAACACAAAGTAAGCGTCGATAAACTTTCACTGAAAGAATATGATCATGTTAAACATATAGTAAGCGATCATACGATATATGACATGTGCATCGAATAATGTTGTTTCTAATGTTTCTGTATAGTTTAAAAGAACCGAAGTATATTAATAATTAGAGTGCTCACTGATAGAAATTGCCGTCTGTGTTATTTTTTTTTTGTATTAATGCATCTTATAGACTTAATGAACTTTTACATATGGTAAGTAAGTGAGGACTTTAGTTTTTTCTATGAGTATAGCAAAGACCTTGCTGGTAGGGTATAGGTGTGTGGAAGTGTGAATGTGGGTGGGGATGAAGAGAAGAATGACACTCACACTCACACTCACACCCTCTTTTAGAGGCTATAGCCTAAAATATTGATATTTTTATTTGCATTTGTGGAAAGGCAAGTAAACAAAATAAAAAAGTCCGATATAAATAATGACGAAAACAATATTTATAATTCCATTTCATTCAGGTAGCGTACTTGTGTAAATGACACATCACCTTGCTGTTTCGTTTTTGCTTGCAACCAAAACTGTGGTACGAATCCAAGAATATAGAGAAAAGGCATAGTAGCAGCAATATATTGTGGAACGGTGCTGCCTCTGAAGATCCAGATACTGGCAAAAATGGTAAGCAATACACCAGAGATAAGAAACCATAACGGCCAAATGATATTTGAATGTTGGGGGACGACTGATCGTCGTGCATAGAGATAGAAAACAACAATAGTGTGTAACAAACAATAGAATGAAATAAATCCAAACATTCCAAAAGCAGCAATAACATGAAGATAAGGATCATGATCTAAACTTACGATGGCCATAATAAGAAGAAATATGACTGAGATAAGTGCTACAGCATGAATAACACATAGAGTAGCACGATGAATGACAGACTGAGATTGAAAAAGATATTGTAATCGACCAATAAGAATTAATATCATTTGTAGACATAAGAAAACAAAACCAAACACGAAATAAGGATAAGCAGAACCAATTCCAAGTTGCGAGATTTGTGGTAGGTCTTTTTCTGACCAAGTGTTCTGAAGTACTTGCCTACACACCACTAATGTTAGAATGAATGTAATGATGGCTGTGAATGGTAAAATAACAAAGGACCAATACCAGATTAGCGCTGTAGTTCGAGCCATTTTATATTGAATACGAAATCTGAAAAAAAGAATGTATATATGAAGTCGATATAACAAGAAAAGTTATCGAACGGCATACAGCGTGACTGACATGCCTACTTTTATTAATATACGAAAATAATATTATAAAATAATTTCGGTTGATTTGATCTCGTTGCACTACCCACACCCACACCCACACCCCACACCCACACCCTCTTAAGAAAGATCATTAATGAATATGAAATTGTTTTATGGAATAATTTTGATGAATTTATAAATGGATTGTTTACCAATGAAATTAGTTTCCGTCAAAGTTGAACTTATTTCTATTATCTATCTTTTATGGGTTCATAACATGAAATGTTTCTATAAAAAGTTTTTGCATTTTTTTCTTCAATTTCTTTAATATTAATTATATATGAGATGAAAGCTTTTTTCTTTCTTCTATAGAATAGTATATATATATATGAGTATGACAAAATATTATTATTATTTTTTTCTTTATATGATGCTATTCGTTCGTATTTATAGCATATGAATAGTGATTCATATTGAATTCAATATTATTTGATAGATTTCTCAAAGTTCTACAAAATGATAAAATCGATAGAGTACTTAGAATTAGTATAAAAAACTAAGTCGATCTATTAGCGTCAGTCAAAACATCGTTTTTATTATTTATTTATCTTTTCGAGATTTTTAAAAATTTAGAAATCATTTTTCACAGTCACACTAGTCGAAGGATTTTATGACATATATATATCGACTTAGTTTTTTATGATAGTTCTGGGTATACTATCGCTTTTGAATAGGAACTCTGATTATGCTGACAAAAATCCATCACATAGAACAGAACATTTAGTAGAGTTTTGACAAATCTATCGAATAGTATAGAATTGAAAGTGGATCATTACTTTCACAACTCAAATAGAGAGAGAGTTTTCCCATGACTAAACAGCTTCATCTGAAGCAAAAAATTGATATTTTGTCACATACTCATTTATGCTATTCAATAGAGGAAAGTTTTTTATAGAAACATTTCCTGTCATGAATCCATAAAGCATATGATAATAGCAAGTTTTTTTAATCAACTAAAATGAAGTCTAATTCGAATGTCAATTGATTTCTAACATCAGCATTGACTTATTTATTGCTCAACGATCTTTCTTCTCTATTAAAAATTTATTTCGATTCTGAAATAATAATTTTATTTAGGTTAATGAATCAACTAATAATGAATTAGAAAATTTTAAAGCACTTTCATTATCTGAAAGTGAAAATGAATCAATAATAGATTCAAATTATTTAACAATAACACCTAATACAACATTTCCATCAATTGAACATTCATTATCAATAAAAGGTCCATGTGAAGATGATTTTGAAATAATTAAATTAATATCAAATGGTGCATATGGTGCTGTTCATTTAGTAAAACATCGTCAAACACAAGAACGTTATGCTATGAAAAAAGTTTCAAAAACAAATTTAATTTTACGTAATCAAGTTGAACAAGTTTTTGTTGAACGTGATATAATGACATTTACAGATAATCCATTTGTTGTTGCACTTATATGTACATTTGAAACAAAAAATCATTTATGTATTGTTATGGAATATGTTGAAGGTGGTGATGTTGCAACATTATTAAAAAATATTGGTGGATCATTAAATATTGATATAGCACGAATGTATTTTGCTGAAACAACATTAGCTGTTGAATATTTACATTCATATGGAATTATTCATCGTGATCTTAAACCTGATAATCTTTTAATAACATCAATTGGTCATATAAAATTAACTGATTTTGGTCTATCAAAAATTGGTTTAATGTCATTAACAACAAATTTTTATGAAAAACTTCTTGATAAAGAAACAAAAACATTTAATGATAAACAAATATGTGGTACACCATCATATATAGCACCTGAAGTTATTTTACGACAAGGTTATGGTAAACCTGTTGATTGGTGGAGTATGGGAATAATGTTATATGAATTTTTAGTTGGTATACCACCATTTACAGGTAATACACCAGATGAATTATTTGTAAATGTTATTAATGGACAAATTGATTGGGAACCATTTAATATCTGATATTAATGAAAATTCATCAGATGAAATTATTTGTTGTGATGCAAAAAATTTAATTGAACAATTACTTCAACATGATCCATCAAAACGTTTATGTACATTAGGTGGTGCATATGAAATTCGTTCACATTCATTTTGTTCATCAATTAATTGGAATACATTATTACGTGAAAAAGCTGATTTTGTACCTGTTTTAGAATCACCTGATGATACATCATATTTTGATACAAGACAAGATCGTTATAAACATTTTGATGATGATAATAATGATGATGATGATAATTTATCAACAACAACAACAAATGATTCTGATTCATTATTTGCATCATTTTCATCTGTTTCATTAAAATATGTTTCAGAATTATCGGGAAATTCTAAACAACGTTATTCACCTAAACAAGATAATAATGATTTAATATTAACTAAAAATGTATTAAGAGCAAATTCATGTACAGATTCATTTAGTTCAAATAATAGTATTCAAATTGATTCAACAAATAATTTTCAATCACTTCTTATGAGTAAATCAATGACAAATGAGAAAGGTAATCATGATGGTTTTTTCCCCTCCTCCCCATAAACACAAAGTCATGAGAGGAAAAATGATTCATTCAGTTTTTCGGCTTGTCCAAGCGTAACGCGATGACGTTTTGTCCACATTGTCTTCAATTTTTCTCAGCAACGAAATCTCTTAGAAATTTGATTTTTTCGTCGAAAGATGTGTCTTCTTAAATACTCTTGGAATCCAGTAAATTTGAGTTTATTTAGCTAACCATTCTGAAAATCATAACAAAAATACACAGTGTTACGCGATGATGAACAAGGGACAAAAATTTGGGGGTGTTATATTTGTTCTTTGTTTTTCTCCAAATGTATATTATCCTAAACAAAATATTTTATAATAGATTCGTAGAAAACACTTTGGAGTGTTGACGAAAATCGAAAAAATATAACCCTTTTCCTGCTATTAAGATATCCACAATATTGAATAAATGTGAGTTAAACCTCGTCTTCTGAAAATTACAAACAGCTTTTACCCATTTCCTCCCTAACTATATCGGGAAATAGTGGTGATACTTAGACCTAATTTTTCAAACTATTGGTATCAGAGTTGATGCGTTTCGTGGCCAAGCAGTTTTATCAAAATTGACGCTATGAATATTCTTTACAAATCCTATCTTTTAACAAGAGTAGGAAAGTTCTCAAATTTGCAACTAGGTTCTTCAATGAGTCATTTCTTTTTTGTAATAGACGAACATATTCAACTGAGGCACAGTAATCAAGTCTACTTAGAAATTGAATATATCGAGAAAGATATATTTGTTTTTTGTTGAAACTTTTTGGATTATCAAAAAAAATTGATCTCTCAGGGGACAAAAACTGATTCTAAAAAGTTATATTTTCTTCATATTTTAAAGAAAAATAAATGCTCATGTAATTTAAACGGTTGGCTATCTCCTCATCGACATTTTACTGCGATGTACCGACACTAGTGTGAACAAACGTACAGCATGGATGATCTAGTTGAAATAAAGATTGTATGTCTATCAGTAATAATTGACTCAAATCGGCTGCATGTTATATTATGTCAAAGAGTACACTTGATTATTTTCTTTTATATTGGTCATGAAATGTCATGACGCATCTTTTAACATCAAAATAAAAACTGAGGAAGATATTAATCAAAGCTGAAGATGATTCTCATTCATTCTGATTGACTCATTAAATTCTATATTAAAACTTATTTCGAACAGTATATTCAATTCCATCCTAGAAACATAATTTAGTATTTTGCTATAAAGTTATTTTATCATTTCGAATCTTATCTCTAGACAATCCTATTCGAATATATACACCCGCGGGCAAAAGTCTTTCCCCCCTCCCCTTTTTTTTTCTTCGTTACATATTTAATATTGAGTTTTTAGTCACTTGAAAGAATGAAATCAGGAGTTTATTTTGCATGGGATGCAACTGATCGTCATTCAGTTTATTCAAGGTTGCTACATGAGTATTACAATGGTAGGAACTGTCAGAGTCATCTGCGAAGTTTTATTTGCACATCGCATTTTGAGAATATTTTTTAATATTCTTTGCGTTTTATTTCCATTATTGACTAAACAATCTTGACTAATCACGGATATGTTCCCCTTAGTCCGATTGAAAATATTAAATCAATAATAAAGGATGAAACCGCGAAAAATACTGAAAATATTCTTAAAATGCGATGCACAAATAAAACTTCATAGATGACTGTGACAGTCGCTACCATTATAATACTCATCTAGCAACCTTGAATACACCGAATGACAATCAGTTCTACCCCATGCAAAATAAACTCCTGATTTCGTTCTTTCGATTGACTAGAAACTCAATACTAAATATGTAACGAAGAAAAAAAACGGTGGGGGGAAGACTTTTGCCCGCGGGTGTATATATGTAGTCTTATGTCTAATATTATATAATTTTAGTTGAATCACCTACAAATCAAGCAACATTTAGTTCGGATACATTCGAACCATTAAATGTATCATCGGATGAATCTGAATCTTCATCAAAGATACTTAATTTATCTTCATCTTCTCTTCCATCATCTGAAAAGATGAAAAATATAGATGAGAAGAAAACAACAACAACATTAACAAAATCTTATAAACAACGAAAAAGTTCATTAAAAGTACTTGAAAAACAAAATTCATTTGATAGTGGTGATGATAATCAACAAGAAAAAATTTCATATCGTCAACATAAAAAAAGTCGAATACCTCGAATATTATCACCAATTAAATCTCAACAAACAAATTTAATAACACCAATTGTATCAATATCAAATGAAAATTTTCAATATTCATCATCATCATCATCTTATAAACCAACAAAATATAATAATCAACAACAAAAATCTACTTATCCACGGTCACCTTCAAAATCATTTTCATCATCATCATCAGCAGCAGCATCATCACCATCACCAATTTTATATTATAATCAGGTTTGTTTGTTTGTTTGTTTTTTTTTATAAATTTTTCATCAAACTATAAAAAATTTTATAGGATGATCGTTCATATCGTCAAAATTATCGTCATAAAATGACTGTTTCTCCACTTGAACGTGATACAACTCTTAAAATTGAAAAACAATCTTCAAAATTTTCACCAATACATTCAATAACAAATAGTCTTCGACCACCAATTATAATACGTCGTGATTCACGTAGTTTTGGTTTTACATTACGTGCTGTTAAAGTTTTTCATGGTAATACAGATTATTATACAACACAACATGTTGTTATTGCTGTACAAGGACCAGCTGAAGAAGCTGGTTTAAAACCAAATGATGTTATAACACATGTTAATGAACATCCAGTTTCTGGTTTATGTCATTCGGATGTTATTAAATTAATTCTTAGTGAATCAGATAAATTATCTATACGTGCTGTACCTTGTTCAGAAACACAAATACGTATTGGTGGTAGACGTCGTTCACCATCAAAACAAAAAAATCGTTATCAACAACAACAACAAACAGATAGAAAAATTTCTACAACATATAATGATAATCAATCATATTGTTTAAAATATCGAATGAATTCATTTGGAAATAATAATAATAATAATAATAATAATACATTAAATAATTCAAATAAAAAACATCAACATAATACATCTTTATTTCGACGTTTAAGCGAAAGAAAAGTAGCTCGTGATATTGAAGCAGCAGCTGCTGCTGCTGCTGCTGCAAATGTTTCATTAATTGTTCCAACAAAATGTATAAATACAAATAATAATAATACATTGACGGCAACAACAACAACAAATACAGATGTTCTTTCATCTTCATTACCATTACTTTCATTTAATCAATTAATAAATGATAATAATAATGAAGGTTCTTTATCATCACATCATCAATGTGATCCTTCACAATGGTCATCATCAAAGCCATTAACATTATTGACTAATGATTTAGATTCATCTCAATCGACTTCATTACCATCTATTACTAAACAACGATCTTTAGTTAGTATTATGATAGAAATATGAAAAAATTTATTCTTTCCTGTAACACGATCTAAAAGAATTGTTAAAGTATATAGGGATAGAAATTTGCATTCTCCCACAGGTTATGATAGATGTTAAGATTAAGTTAACGTTTCAAAATAGAATCTTCCTATGATTAGAAACAGTAGTTATATTGTGTTTTATGTTTTAATCCTGAAAGAATTGTGATAACAATTATTTTGTTTTTCTCTTTTAAGACTTCAAATTCATCTTCGATCAAACGTGCATCTACATTTGACGAACCTATTCATCATTCTCTTTGTAAAACTATATCTGAACCATCTCGTTCACCTCATCATAATAGTACAAATAACAATCAAATGCAATATTTGGTAAACAATAATATTAATAAATAGAGAATAATCATTTCTAATATGTGTGCTTATGCTTGAATAATTATTTGATCATGCTTATTTTATTTTATTTTTTGCTTTTCTAATCAATCATTGCTAATTAAAATACTAAATCGATTAAAAATCAATTCTAATAAAAAAAAAAGGTGATTAACGTTTTCTTTTGAAAATAATACAATGAAAAATAAATGTTAAATTTTTTTTTTTGATTTTAGTCACGACAAAATTATCATGATCAAAATTATTTCTATACACCAGCGATTTCATCACATAAGAAAAAACTTCAACGTCAAAATTCCATTTATATTCCTCCATCACCAAGATCATTACAATCAACATTTACATGGGAAAATAATCTCAATCGAAATATTCAATCATATTATCATGATCCATTAACACGTTCATTATCAACAGAATCATCAACAAGTTCAACATCGACATCTAATAATGTCGATAATGATCTTTCAAATCCGGTTTTTGTTTCTACAAAATATTTCTATCGACGAAAATAAGTAGTTTTTTCACATGTATATTATGTATTTCTCGAGATCAGCCTTGTACATACAAGTGCGTTCGAATGATTTGTTTTATCTTTCAAATAATCTATATTTATCTTTTCTGTTTAAAAAATAAGTATAATAAGCCGACTAATTCTCTGTTGCTTTTATTGTTGTTCATAGAACTTGTATATGTTTTTTTCTGGACGATGGTGATGATATTTGTTTGTTTTTAAAACGTGATCTTTTCTTCAATTCTAATGATGAATATTATAATGATACATGCTCATAAAAATGATATTGCTATTTGTCTTCATGCTACAAACATATGAATCCTTTTTTCTGCTGTTTATACATACAGAGTATCAATCATTGTTTAAATGAAAGATGATTTTAAGGCGGTAACAGCAACTACAATGTCTTAGGATTAGACTTTTCTTCTCTCAACAGTATTCAATCAACATACAATGCAAAAGAATTTGCGCAAATGTCGGTCTATATCTCTCTCCTACAGTAGGATGTGGGAACAAAACTTTCTTTTATTAGAAGATAGAGAATTTTTTCTTGTTTTCGATGTAGGCATGAAGTATGGATGTGAATGTGTCTCTTCATTTCATACACTTACACTGAGACAATGATCTTTACACCTCACACATTGAAAGATAGCAATTTACAGTCGCATGCAAATCTACCTATATCCACACCCACATCCTTCTTACTCAAGACAGAGGCCAGTACTTTCTCCTAAAATGAAAAATTCTTGCATCAATAACATAATTATGTTTTTTTGCGATTATATTTCGACAGTATGGCCGAGCGGTCTATGGCGGCAGCTTCAAGCACTGTTTTATCGTGGGTTCATCAATCATTCCGGATTTATGTGCCCATCATTTTTACTAAATAATGGGTAGTCTGATAGAAGATATCACGTAAAATCTGACTTGGTCAACGAATCCTACTACTGTCATTTTCACTTTTTTTTAGTTTCATTAGATTTTACCTGCAAGTCTTTTCTGGTGGTTGGGTGTGAGTGAAGATGCGATGTGGATGAAAAGATTACTCATACCCGTACCGACACACACCCACACCCTTTACATTGATTTAAACTGGATTTAAATAAATTCAAAAAGTTTAAATTTATGTAAATCCAATTTAAATTCAAAATAAATTTTCAATTTCCCTTCGCCATCATTTTATGTGAACAAATACTTTCATGGTAGGTTATTTTCGTCGGATTTTTGCCAGTTTAGCTATAAAATTCGCCTGGCCAGTTGCTAGCTGGACCAGATCGAACAGAAACAAACTGTCTTGTTCGAATTCTGATGTGAGTCCATAAAAGATAGATAATATCGAGTTTTGAGTCGGAATGCCGCAGCCAGAATTAGATCTAACTATCTAATTCGAATGGTATTCAATTTCGAACGTTTCAATTAACTGTTCAGAAAATAAGAAACTCTATTTCAAGAGAAGTCGGTTTCATTTATTAATAAATCGGCTTCTCATGTAACAAAAATTTCTATAAAAAAATATACAAAATTTCATCGAATATTCTGATTAGTTTTTATTAAAACCGATTTACAATTGTTCAAAAAAAAAACATTTTTTATCGATTCTATTTGATGATAAGCAGTCGAATTTTAATCCAGTTTTATTTATATTGCATTGATTATAATCGATTTCTGTATGATTATTAAAACAATTTTAATCAAAGTTAATCAGAATAATCGATGAAATTTCGTATGTTTTGATTGAAACCGATTGAAGATGTACGATTTTTATCGATTAAAAATTGATTTTTTAATGCCGTTTATATTACTTTTTTTTTACATGAGTCCTTTCCGATAATTCTGATGGACAATTTTTTTCAATTAACACATTTCTATGTGTAAGTTCTAGTCGTCAACAAACTCTTTCAACTCTTCGAAATTACGAAAGATCAGACAACATAATGAAAGTATAATTTGAAATAGGCATTGAGCATGAAGGAGGACATGGCGGTAGTTGTGAGTCTAAGCTCCTCTTCACCCATATCCTCTCAAAATTATAGCTAGACACGCACACATCATTTACACTCCCTTTCTCTTATTTTAGAATAAGCAAAAATGTTTTCGATTGTTATTTTATGATTCTCTTCTAATCAGTGTGAGTCAACGAGTTTTCTTTTATAGACAAACTACTTTGAAGAAATCGTTCATAACACTTCTGCACACAATCGCAACATGGTTAATTTGTATACTCACTTAAACATATGAAAAGGCAGGTAATTAAAGTTTCTTGTTTATTCAATGACAACAAAATTTGTCAAACATTTTGCTAGAAGCTGTTAGGAAGTGTCGATCAACACACTCCTGGTTCACGTTTTTTATTCAAAAGAAAAAGAAGCTAACACATAGGCTTATCTTTATATGGATCAGGCCATTAGCCAATCAAGAGAGAAGGAAAAAGAACAGATAGAGGTAGTGGGTGAGAGATGGCACCACTACCTAACACCTCCACCCTTTATCAGTGAACAGTTATATTTGTTCACGAAGAGGTAACAACTGAGAGTAAGAAAATAAACAAGCCATGAACATGAAGTATTAGAATAGTACAAATAAGAAAAAAAATGTATGAATACATGAATGAGTAAAGAGAAAAGCTAGAATCAACAGGAATATATATATATATATATTTTTTTTATATGTGTGTTATATATGTATAGGACGAGGTCAACATGACATGAAAAACAATAATGTTGTTGATATCAATTAAAGAAGTTAGTGAAACCGTAAACTATGAGTACGAGTATAATAAATCATTGAATGGAGAATTTCTCACGATGTATTTCAAAGGACGTAAGAGTATCAAATCAGGGTTATCGTAACGAATTTTATAGCGGAGACATAACCATTCATTCAAGGTTGTCGTACCACAAAAGTATAGTGCGTTTAGGTTAGATGTACAGGGTTATCGTAACGAAAGATCAGAGCTGTCGTAACCAATCGTCTTGCCCCTGTATATTGTCACTCATATTTCTTTAGTAAAATATAGTACGACGGCCCTGTATAAGCAGTTACGACAACCCTGTAAAATTCATTACGAAACTCTTGTAATTGAGGTGTTGATGTTGTAAAATAGTACATACCAAAACACTGGTTACGATCGCCCCGTAAAATTTGTTACGATAGTCCTGATTTTTGGTTACGAAAGCCTTGATTTGTGTTGTTACGAAATCTCTGTAATTGACTAAATCAGGGATTTCGTATCGGCCATTCTTTACGAAAGTCCTACAAAAAATACGTAACGAGTTGCAACCTTCTCATCAGAAGGTCACTAGCGTATTCAACGAATTCGACAACTTATTAACAACAAATATATCGTATATTGTATCCAAAATGACAAACCTCTATTTGTAAAATCAGCAAAATTTGTGTACTTGACATGAAAAATTTCTTCAAACTGATCCAAACATATTGGTAAGGGACTAACGAACAAGATACTGATATTTTGAATAGAGTGAATTAAAATGAATTTTTTTATGCCCGTGACCAGTGAAAACTCTATAGAGAGAATCTATACAAAAAAATTTGAAAACATCCGATACTCTTTTAACAATTGAACCTTGCATATCGTTTTCAATTTCACATATCAATACTTCTTCATTGTACAGAGTAAGAAATATGCTCTTATCAGTCAAATAGTAAAACTTCACTCTGATCAACTCTACTTTAACAAATATTGGTGAGTATATGCAAATACCAACTAACTCGCTTTTTGTCCTCAATTGTGAAAAGTAATGTTTAGACATCAACCGTAAGTTCAGATTATATTTTCGCTCTGTGATGCTCTACATACAACTTGTTTTTATTGGAAATGTATGATGAACAACGTTTGTATGTATTTGATATAAATACATTTCTGTACTTTTCAATATTTAATCATTTTTTTGTGTTCTGTTCATAAAACTGTTGTTGAAATTTCTTTTTCTTCTTCATCAACATGTTAGACACATACATGAGTGAATTGCGCCCGTATTGTACGGTTGCGTTTCCAACACCAAAACGACTATATCTCGAGTTCTACTCAACGAATTTTGATAATTTTTTTCAAATACTCCTTATAGTCTATCCTACTTACCGTAAAACTATCAAGTTTTTTGGCCTTCATGGCTGTAAAATTTTCAAGCATGAAAAGTCAAAATGTGTGCTTTTTGGTGTCATATATCGACGAAAATCACTTCTTCTGTCTACAATTTTGATTGAATAAAAATAATTTTTTATGACCATCTTGTAGCTAAGACTTTCCTCTTTCTGATAATATAAATTAATTACAACTTCGATTTCGATTTACCGATCAAATCTTACAAAAACTATCTAAACATACACTTTGACCATTTTATGTTCCAACAAATTAAATTTAATCTACTAAAGCCAATTCAAAAGCAAACGCGAAATTTTTTTAAATGTTCGATAGAGTAAAGAGCGAAAAATCTTTTGATAAAAATGTTTTCTAAGGACCTTCTGCAGTATAGCGTGTGAACAAATGAAAGAAAAGCGAGTCTTTTTCTTCTTTTATATGAGCAAGCAACAGAAGGAAGTAAATCTTGGTTTTTTTCTAGTTGTATGTTACAAAGAAAAATGAATTTTTTTGTATGACGTTGTTATTTTTTTATTGCGAATGAATGACGTCAAAAAAAATTGCGATGCTGATAGTGAGTTAGTGTGAGTATTTTATTCATCATTCACCCTTTGTTTTTCGAGACTTTGTTTGAACTTTTACATAAAATTCATTGTTGTCTTGTTGGTCACAACAGATGATTCTTTATTGATTAATTACAGATAGTGTGGAATAGCAAGAATTATTTTGATAATAAGAAGAGATCAGGTCCTTTTATGTGTAAGCATTCATTGATATTTGTTATCATCTATTCATCTATTAAAGAATGATTTACAAAGATTAAATGTTTGTAATACATGAACAAAATCGATCAAGCATAACATCAGGTATAGAACTTCGTTCATCAAATGACGTTTCAGTTGTTAAATCAAGAAAAATGAGTAAAAATAGGATCATGTGCCAATCCATCGATTGTGGTCATTGTATTTGTCAAGCATGTGCTGAAGAACAGCAAGAGTAATGTTTTTATCGATTAATTTTTTTCTGTCATTTTATTCCTTCATACTAATGTGATCATATGTGCTGAATTTCAGAAATCTTCGCTATAATATTTCTCATCTGCTCTTACTTAATCATCATACAGTTCCATATCAGCATTCATTAATAACTAAGATAATAAAAAGTTTCATGAAAACTAATAAACATAGAAGACATCTCTTGAGAATTTTGTTTATATTACAACTAATATGGATAAACCATGGACTGTGGAGTTCGTTTCTGATCACCAAAACAATCTGAAAATAGTGAATGACTCATCGAGGATGTTAACGGTGGATTAAGGTTATACATCGAAATAGATATATCTTCTTTCATTATGTCATTGTTGTCTTTCTTTTCTATTGTTATTGTTGTCTTTCTTCACTATCTTCTTGTTCGTCTTTCTTCTCCTTTGTTACCTTAGCCTATATATGTATGCACAAGTGTATGTTAGAAGTTAGAATTCATCTTTTTTTCTCGATTTGAATAAACAAGAGGTCAGCTCGTACGAAACGAGCTAATAGAGGGTATTCTATATATAGAGAAAAAAATCCATTCGATAATCAAAATCATTCTGCTTCGCTCGTCTATACATTTCGATTCGATTCATTTTTAAATATGAATAACAACAAACGAAAATCAACGTTTAATTATTCTTATTATCAAGATATAAAAAAATCCAACATCGATCAACAAATGTAAGTCTTCTGTACACAAAAGCATTTCTACACATAAAATTTTCATATAGAATGTCGATCGACAATTTATCTAATGAAATCTTCTATGAAATATTTGATTATCTTGATGCTTGTGAAATCTATCATGCATTTTCTAATCTTAATCATCGTTTTCAACAACTTCTATATTCTTCATCACTGTTATTTAAAATTGAATTACATTATCGAACACCGAAAGAAATATTTCTAAATAATTATAAATCATTGATACGTTTCCATCAACATCAAATAATTTCCATTCATTTAACATATTCTATCAACGTCAATACAATTATTTCATCGATGATTAGAAATTCATTATTTAATCATCTTGAATCTATTCGTTTGCACGGCGTCAGTCCAAACATACTTTCAAGATTTCTTAAGAAGTGTATTTCTTTACCTCGTCTTTTCTTATTACGAATTGATACATCAAATTCTCTAAAAGATCTAAATAATATCTATAAATTAGTTTTTAATTTACCAAAATTAAAATCTCTTGAAATCACAGCACATGGTTTCAACAAATTCAATATAAAAACCTCGTTATCAATGGCAACTGCTAAACAATTCAGTCCAATTAAAAGTCTTATGATTGATCATTCTTGTACTTTCAAAGAATGTTCTACTATTATTTCTTATACACCTCAACTTCGTAATCTAAGTGTTTCACATTTATTAATGGACGATAATCCAAAAAAAGGAATTCATTTACCAATGATATTATCAAATTTAACATATCTATTTATATGTGAATATGATCTAGATTTTGATCAATTTGAAATGTTTATTCGAAAAATTGATGCAAAATTACAATTTTTATCATTTAATACTGAATCTGAAGATATAAATTATCTTGATGCTAAACGATGGGAAAAATTGATTATGAAATATTTACCTCAATTAGATAAATTTTATTTTCAATATCATATATATAGAGATTATGAAAATGAATATCCAGTATATCGTGATCAATGTGATCAATTTATTTCATCATTTTGGATTGATCGTCAATGGTTATTCAATGCTGATATTGATTATGGCTTTATTCTCTATTCAATTCAGCCATACGAGTATGTCGAAAAGACTTTATGATGTTTAATAAGTTTTCTTTGAATGTTAAAGTGTATAGGGGCAATAATTTTCATCTCCTCGCCAGACGCCTTAGTATTTCCCTGGTTTTCGAAATTAGGGCAGGGTAGCTCAATAGTCACTTTACTGAAACAACATTGAATATCTCCGTTACAACTTGAGTAAACGGGTTGATTTTTTATCAATAGCAAAGGTATATTGACACTACATATCCATAAAGACATGCCTATAGAGATCCTTTGTTAAGTATCAATATTGATTTCAACAAAAATAATTTATTTTTTCACAGATGGTAAAAAACCAATATACTTAACAAAGGTCTGTCTTTATGGATATCAAGCTTGAACATGACTCTTTTATTGATAGAACAAGTCAGCTCGTTTGCTCGAGCCGTAACGGAGATATTCACTGTTTTTTTTGGTAGAGTGACTTTTGGGGCCACTCTGTTTTATGTAAGTAAGCATCTCGATCGTGTTTTACATATTAATTCCATAGAAATTTTACTTATAGTTGTTTTTTTTTAATTTTAGAAAACAATGGTATGAGTATGATTCACCACAAGGGATGGTTAATTCTTCTACTGATTTATCTAAATGTAGTCAACTTAGTATTAGATCTATTCCTGGTGAATATTTCGACTTATTCTTGACAGATGTTACTCGTGTATTAAATATGGCGGAAATATATCATTTGGAAATAACAGAAGAAAATGTTTTTAGTGGTATATTGGTTGAAATAGTTGATTTATTAGCTGAACTTCGTTCATTAAAAATTCATTCATTATCATTACGTGTACCAGAAGGATTATGTGTTGAAAAGTTTGATGTTTTTGATTTATTAGAAATTCCAATTCAAATTACGAAAGTTTATCTTGAGAAGATGAATGAAATTGAAGAAATTTATTTTCTTATGACACTTTGTCCTGATTTGACTTATCTCAAAGTAGATTCTATAAATAACATGGATATTGAATTATTTTTTCGAAATATTTTAATGAACATTTCATCTAAATATAATGAACATTTTCGTTCAATGTGTATTCGTATTCCAACAGCAGATGATAAAATGATAAACAAGTTAGAAAAAATGATCAATGTCAAGAAATTATTAATTAAATATAAAATTCAACGTATATCTGAATGTATTTATTTACAATGGAATTGATTCTATTGACTGTGATGTTTGTTCTTATATATTAAGATTTTTTTAAATAGAAAAATAAATTGAGTATGGAAAGAGATGATTCTTTGAAATGAACTTTTCTAAGATGTTGTTTGGAAAATTTATCTAAATGACGTTGAATATCTTTATTGGAAATTAATCTCAGGAATCAAAAAGTAGATAGGACAAAAAAAAATTAGTAACTTTATTCATTTCTATAATGTTTCTTTTATGAATTGGGGAACTAATTGGGCAGCGATTTCATCACCAGGTTCCGTTAATGAAAGATGGTGAACGCCTCTTTCAACAATTTCGAATTTCCATAGTTTAGGTAATTTTGAACTCCATTGTTTTGCTTATTCCGCTGGAATCACGGGATCTTCCGCTCCATGCAGAACTAATGTCGGAACGTTGATTTTATCATCGATTCCATCGCGATTAAGAAGACAGTTGAACGCTGGATCATATCCTTCGGGCTCGGCATATCGTTTAATCCACATTTGCTTAATTTTTTCGTAGACTTTTTCGCCTACACGCGCAGGACCACCGAATGATGCTGCTCCAGCAAGCATAGCTTCATCGGAAGGAACTTTTGTCTCGCACCATGTATCACGAGACTTGAGAAGATTAAGTTTTAGTTGTTCTGTCGTACTGAAGACCGTAGTTCCAAGTAATATTAATCCTTTGACTCGATAAGGTTCGGGTAGAGCCATTCGAAAAGCTGTAAAACCTCCTTGCGTAGTTTCAAGTACATAAAATTCATCAAGGCCAAGTTTACTTAGAAGTTGTAGTGAATCCGAGGCAGTATCCCAGAAAGTAAAATCTTCTCCACGACCTGTTGTTTCTCCATGACCATGTGCATCGATCGATATTAGATTATAGAGCGAATATCGAATGTCTTTGAATTAACCATCGTAAAATCGTGAATCCATCAGGAATGCATGGTGAATGACAATAGTTGGCAATGATTTGTCGATAGGATGAGAAAGTCGATAAGCAAGGATGACGCCATTGTCCAGTGACATATGAAATAGTTCTTTATTCGATATGATATATGTAATAAAAGCATGTGGATGCTCTGCAAGCTGTTGCCAACAAGTATTAACACGCTATTGATGATAGTGCGTCTTGTTTATCAGAAGTACTAAGTATAAAAGAGAAAAGAAGCTTTTTCTCCACGCATTCTATCCTATATAGATATGAGTAGGGATGTGTGCCTTTCATGACGTTGCAATAATGACAAAAAAAAAGAGAAAGAAAAATTGATCGAAATCAGTCAAGCAGTAGGAAGGCGTATGGATGATATTTTTTATAAGAAAAAAAGCCATTGGATGGTGCACGAGAACACAAAAGAGAAACAGATCTTTACGATAGGTCCTATAATTTTGGTGAGAGCATCAACATGTAATCCCATGCAGTCAAAAATGTGAAATTAACGCGTGGTAACAACTTCTTTCCTTTGTTTTGATGCGTTCCACACCATCAAAAATGTCCGAATTTTCGCGTTTTAACGGTTGCCTTTTTCTTACATTTCAACCTCGTTATAACAGATTTTTTGGAAAATGTTACTTCGCGTTTTTCATATACACACGTTGAAACGCCAAATTTCGGACATTTTTGACTGTACATTCCGTTTATATCA